TGAACGAACGAACGAACGAATGAACGAATAAAAGTTATTTTTTGCCAGAAAACCTCTTAACAATTGTTTTAAAATTTGAAAAAGTTGATTGCAAGTTTTAAAAATATTGTTGTTGTTGTTGTTGTTGTTTATGCGCTTGTGAAACAATGGAAAGTAGGCAGAGAGGCAGCAGTAAAAATTGCTAAAACTCCAAACCGATCAAACAATGACTCGATGAGATTTGCCGTGAGCCATCAAAACTCGAAACAGTTCATTCTGTCTGGGCGGGTGGCATGTCTCCTCCTTCTACCCAAGTTAACAATGTTGCTAAAAGTTAAACACTCCTACGCATCAGTTTGTGGAATTCCCTGAGGAGCGCTATTAAACATTGCGGAAATAGCGCTTTATAAACTAACTGATTGGTTGATTAATTTTAAAAGAAATAATAGCAGTAGTAATTGTAGTAGTAGTAGTAGTAGCCAGAGCAGCAGAAGCAGCAGCAGTAGTAGTAGTAGTAGCCACAGCAGCAGCAGCAGTAGCAGTAGTAGTGGAACAAAAATTTTGAGAGCCACCATAAGATTCAATTTTGATAAAGCCGACAACGACATAACAGAACGTTGTAAATCACATACACGCACTCGCTAAACTGAACATGTTGCTATTTTTACCTTCTCTCTCTCTCTTTCTCTCTCTCTCTCTCCTTCTCTTTCTCTCTCTCTTTTTTTTCTCTCTCTCTCTCTATCCCGTTTTTATCCGTTTAATTTATTTTTCGTATCTCACGATCTTCATTCTTTCTTTCTTTTTTTCTTTCTTTTTCCTTCATTCATTCTTTCTTTCTTTCTTCTTTTCCTTCATCATTCTATCTTCCTTTCTTTCTCTCTTTCTTTCCTACTCTTCCGCTTTTTTTACAGTTTCTCTAATTCGCTCTCCATCTTTATCTTCTTCCTCTTTTTCGCTCTCTTCATCTGACTTTTTATCTTTCTCTCTCTCTCTCTCTCTCTCCTCTCTCTCTGTTTTTTCATCTTTCTAGGAGGTAGTCACAATGGTAGTGAAGATGATACTGATTGTGATGATGATGTCAATGACGCCAAAAATTATGGTCCCTCTAATTAGCATTGAGACATGCGTTTTTGACTTAAAATACTGTTATAAATCTATATATGTATGCAAATATGCGTGTGTGTGTGTGTGTGTGTGTGTGTGTGTGTGTGCGTGCGTGTGTCATTCGTGCGTGAGTTAGCGTTTAGATTGTCAATTTGTGTTAATGTAGACAGATTGAGAGACGGCGTGAGAGAAATTAAAGGATGAATAAATTTTCGAATTTGAGGTTTTTATTTTTTGAAGAATTGAAATAAAACTAGAAACGCGAGTGCAAATAATGATTAGAAGGGAAATTAAATTAAAAGCGACTCTCAGTTTTAAATTTTTTGTGATTAATAATTCTCGCGTTATTCTTTTCATCTTATTATTTATTCATTGAAATTTTTGGGTTATCTTTGATTTATTTGATAGTTCGTTCGTTCGTTCTTCATTCGTTCGTCCGTTCGTTCATGCATTCATTTATTCATTCATTCATTTATTTATTTATTCGTTCGATCATTCGTTCATTTTGGCTGATAAAAATTGAAGAAAAAAAATTGTTTTTTTCAATAAAATTCAATTTCCTCTTTGAAAATGGAGTTTATAAAATAAT